GAACGACAGCCTCCTGGTCAAGGTACAGATTCCTCATGAGTACAATCAAGTGCTCAGGAATTCCCATTCTTCTCAATGTTATCCATAATTTTTACTCCCCTTTCTCCTGCTCTTCCGGCCTGCTGCTTTCGGCGTCCCTGAATTGTCTCTTCTCACCTGTATCTCTGGGGCTTACTGCTCTTCTGTCCAGGTTCCTGGCTTTTACTCCCCTTTCTCCTGCTCTATTCTTCTAGGTAGGTAAACCTAAAAAAGAAAAAAAAAATTAGTAGGCCCCAGAAGGCTTTCTCTTGCCACTTTCCAGTTACTAATCTTCCCTCCCCCAAAGATAACCATTACCCTGAATTCTAACACCATAGAATAATTTGTTGCCTGACGCTGAACTTCTTACTCAATGCAGTTGTACAGTGTATACTCTTTCAGGTTTGGCCTCTTTTGTTCAAGATTTACTTGTAAAATATATGCCATTATATGTAGTTGCAATGTGTTCATTTCTGTTTAATGTTCCATTGTGCAAATATACATTATTTATCCTTTCTTAATGCTGATGAATATTTGAGTTGTCTTAAGTGTTTGGCTTTAACACTGCTATGAACATTATTATATTTGACTTTTGCCTAGAAGTGGTATTGCTGGATTATAGGATACGATATGTTCAGCTTTCAAAGATCTTTCAAACCGTTTTTTAGAATGCCCCCAAATTTTACTCTTCCCAGCACTATATATAGTTCTGATTAATCCACAAGTGTACCCACTTCTATTATTTTTAATTTTATTCATTCAGGTCCCACTTCTATTATTTTTAATTTTATTCATTCAGGTGGTTTTAAATTGCTTTCCCTTAATGAATAGTATTACTGAGCACCTTCTTTTTATTTGTTAATAGTCTTGTTTAAAGGACACCTGCTGGTGTTATAGTTATGTGTTCAGCTGCTAACCAAAAGATTGGTGGTTCAAACCCACCCAGCAGCTCTGTGGAAGAAAGACTTGGCAGTCTGCTCGCATAATGATTATAGCCTAAGAAACCCTATGGAACATTTCTTTTCTCCTATAGGGTCACTGTAGGGAGCTCTGGTAATATAGTGGTTAAGACATTTGGCTGCTAACCAGAAGGTCAGCAGTTTGAACCCACCAGCTACTCTGTGGAAGAAAAATTGGGCAGTCTGCTTCTGTAAAGATTCACAGCCTTGGATACCCAACGGGGGTTGCTATGAGTTAGAATCAATTTGATGGCAGTGAGTTTTGGTTTTATAGAGTCACTATGAGTTGGAATTGACTTGATGGTATACAACAGCCATAGCAGTCTTATTCAGGTGACTGTTCAAGTCCTCTGTGTGTGTGTGTGTGTGTGTGTGTGAGTGAGAGAGAGAGAGAGAGAGAGAGAGAGAGAGAGAAAGACTGTTTCTCTATTGGGTTGTTTATCTTCTTACTTATTTGTAGGAATCGTTCATAGATTCTAAATATGAGTCCTCTGTTGGATATATGCTTTGTAAATACCTTCTTCCATGTGGTAGCTTCTCTTTTCATTATCTTAATAATGGCTTTTGATGTATAGAAACTTTTTTATTTTACTGTGGTTCAGTTTCTCTGTTTTATGGTTGTGCTTTTTGTATTCTGTTTAATAAATCTTATTCCAGGGTCAAGTTTTATTGTTTTCATCTCTGTGAGATAGTTTGATTTACACTCTATCAAGTATTTCTTGGCTACTTAGTTTTGTCTTAGGAGCCCTAGTGGTGCAGTGGTTAAGGCATTTGGCTGCTAGCCAGAAGGTCAGTGGTTCAAACCCACTAGCTGTTCTGCAGAAGAAAGATGAGGCAGTCTGCTTCTGTGAAGATTTACAGCCTTGGAAATCCAATGGGGGTTGCTATGAGTCGGAATCAACTCAATAGCAATAACTTTGGTTTGGTTTTGATAGTTTTGTATGCATCATCCTCTAAGGTACAAACTCCATGTTATTTTTCAAGGTTCAGCAAAGTTTGGAAAAGATTTCTAAACTGGAGCAAGAAAAAGAACACTGGATGTTAGAAGCACAATTAGCCAAAATCAAGCTAGAGAAAGAAAACCAGCGAATTGCAGATAAGCTAAAGAGTACAGGTAATGGACAGCTGGTCGGGCTGCCTCAGGAAAGCGCTGCTGTGTTGAACGCTCCATGCCAGGAAGAAGCTGCAGCCAAGACTGTGCCAGAGCCTATTCAGAACACCACTCTGGTAAGTCTCTTCTTGGCTGCCCTCAGCTTTCTCTTTTATTTGCTAATCGGTAAGAGTGTAATTTAGTGTTCAGGGTTAACCATCTGAACTACATATCATTGTTTATAACAGGAATGATCCATGTGCTTCAGAGAAAGCAGATTGGTAAGCAGGATGAGGCTTTCACAAAGCAATACCATTAGAGTCCTATGGTTTTACATGAGTCTTCCTCATGGTGAGGGCTGTGTTCCTAGAAAAGGTAGAGTAAGTCAAATTTAAAATGACTCTGGTTTTCTATAGACACATTTATAATATGGGGTAATATTTCTGATCAAGAGCCAAATGTGTAACTTTATACAGATGATCACAAGTACTATTTGTAATCAATTATATGGTGTATGACTAGACAATATATAAAGTTTTATAACATATAATAACAGAAACCCATCAGGTTAATTATATTTCATAGGGCATTATCTGGCAAATTATCTTGCAACGTTATGTTTCTTGCCTTATTTTTAACTGCAATGATTTAGAAGGTGAAGAAACGTCTATATTAGAATTAATAGAATCAAAAGTTACTTTTTAAAAAGTTTTCTAATTACAGTATTGCCCACTGTTAAAAAAAAAAAAAAAAGGAAAATCTAGAAAAGGAGAATTCGAGAAGAAAAAAAAAAACCCTCATAATCAGAAGGGTCTTTTTTACAGGCATTTTGGAGGAACCTGGGGAGAACTGTGGCACTTCTTACAGGCCCTGCTCACAAAGAATGTGCTTTTCTGCTGACTTTATCCATTAAGCTCATGGATGCTATTGAAGAGGAAGTCATGGTCCTTCTTGGATTTACTTTGCACCTGATTTACAGCATTCCTGATAGTAAAATTTACAAACCAACTTATATTTTTAAGATCTATACATACCTGACTGCATCTTAACAATGTCAGAAACTCCAAGTTATGTTAATTTTTTAGGTGTGGTAATGATATTATGATTATATAGGAGAATTTCTTTAGTTTTTTTAAGATAAAAGCTAAAAAGTACTTAGGGTGAGGCATTATAATGTCTGCAGCTTATTTTCAGGTTGTTCAGAAAATATTTCCCCAGATACATAAAGCAAATGTAGGAAAATGTTAACAGTTATTAAATCTGGATGATAGAGATACAGATGTTTATTGTACTTTTTCCACAACTTTTCTGTGTATTTGAAATTTTTTCTAATAAAATGTAGGTGAGAAAAAAAAAAATTAAAAACTTTAGAAAAACAAAATACAAGCAAAAAGCCAACCTTCTCAGAGCTCTGACTGAAGGACTGCCCTGCTGACAGACTGGTCCTGGAGTAGTCTCCAAACTACAAGTCTGTGTCCCATCTACTAGTCTTGTCCATTGCCTCATGATGGGGGAAGATGCCTGCTTTCACCCACACATCAGAGGTTTAACATTTAGCTACAGTTTATAAATGAAGTAATGAGTGGGACATTCAGCAAACACAACAGAATTTCAACATCTGTCCCAATACCATTTGGGAAGTAAAACACTGCCACCCCTCACTCATCTATGGAATTTCCTTCAGAGCCTGTTTTCCCAGACAGAAGAGTCTGTCTCATTGATGGGGTCACAGACTGCTCTCCATCGGGTCTCATCCCTTCTTTCTTGCCTCTTCTCTCCCTGGTTCCAGGCGTTTGTTCCTTCCTTCTTCTGTTAACCTGCACTAATAGTAGAGTTGATGCTGACCAGAGAATAACAATAGGACCAGACTAGACCAGGGAGGATGCAGATGACAACAGTTGTGATTGCAGTAATCTGTGCCAGGCACAGTTCTGAAGACTTTTCATGTATTAACACAGTCAAACCTTACATAGATCCTAGGAGATAGTGGGTATTATCATATCTTCATTTTATAGTTGAGGAAACTGACAGAGGTGAAACAGCTTCCCCAAAGTTATATACTTGATAAATGACAGAACTTAGATTCAAACCCTCTGATTTCTGGCTCCAGAGCCTGCCCTCTTAACCACCAGAGCCTTATACTCTGAACAGTGTCAGAAAACAGATTAACTGACATAAGCTCTTTTGTTTATTGCTTCGCCAAGTGCTAGAAATTGGTAACATCAGGTATATTTGAGTCATTAACATTAGTTGTTAGAAGTTGAGGACTGTCTTTTTATCTGATATTTTCTATGGAAAGCCCTATTTTATATGTAAATGAGAACAACTTCTAGAGGCATCTTCATTTCAGAAAATCTTTATTCCTGAGCACTAGTGGCCGCCCATGAGTGATGATGATTTTATTTGGATTTGGGGAGTTTGAAAGTTGTTCTTACTCTGAGTATGCTGTCTGGTTAGCATGTGTACATAGCCTTGGTTTCTTCTGTTCTCTTTCTGTTTGCATCTCACTTAAGGTCAACTTTCATCTACCTCACAGTACTTTCAGAGTAATTTTTTTTAGAGTATATTACTGATTATGCAGTCTCTTGCTTCTAGACATTTAGTGACTCTCTGTTAATTGCAAAATATATCCACCCATTCATTTGATATTCAAGGCCTAAACTACCTTTCTGGCCTTTCTTTTACCAATTCTGTCACCCAAACTGAGCTCTTTTTCCTTAGTAATGTTCCTTGCAGTTTTACCTCCCTGTCCTTGTTCAAGGAACCCAGGTGGCACAATGGTTAATACACTCAGCTGCTAACTGAAAGGTTGTTAGTTCCAACCCATTAGCCACTCCATGGGAAAAAGATGTGGCAGTCTACTTGTCAAGATTGCAGACTTGGTAATCTTGAAGAGTGAAGAAAATAAAAGATACATGGAAACAATTGGTCCAAGGAACTAGAAGACTACATGAACCTCAGCCTCCATGACCGTGGTACCAGAAGAATGAGATGGTGCCCAGCTGCCACTCCCAGCTGCTCTGAAAGGGATCACGTGAGGAGACCCCAGATAGAGTGGGAGGAAAATGTGAGAGAAAACTCAAAATCATAAAAAAGACCAGGCTTACTAGTCCAATGGAGACCAGTGGGAGCTCCACAACTGTGGCCCTTAGGCACCCTTCAAGCCTGGAACTGAATTCATTCCCAGGTCTCAACTTTCAGCCAAACAATAAATAGGCCTGTGAGGTGAACAGTAATACTAGGGAGGTGCCCACTCCTTAGAACAATCAACCATAAGAGATCAAAAGGGTAGCATTTGCCCAAGGATAAAGCTCAGAAGGCAAGAATGAATAGGAAAGAAAGACAAAGGCAATGGTAACCATAGGTGAAAGTAGGAAGATTGGGGGTACATTGTAGGAATTGCGGTCATTGTCATGAAACAAAATATGTATGAACTGTTAAATGGAAAACTAATTTGCTCTGTAAACTTTCACCAAAATCACAATAAAAAGTTAAAAAAAAAGATTACATCCTTGAAAACCCTATGAAGCATTTTTACTCTGTCTTACAGTGTTGTTATGAGTTGGAATCAACTCAACAGCAGTGGATTTGGTTTTGGTTTGGTCCTTGTTTATGCTATTTCTTTTCCCTGAATATCTGTTTTTCCATAACCTCCACTTCCTAAGTAGTTGCATACTTTCTCTTCCCAACTTCTCTTTCTTTCTCTTTGATTTTCTTGAATTCAAAACCCAACCCATCATTTAAGGTACGGCTAAGATGTCACATTTTCTGTGAACCACCATTCTAGGCATTGCCTTTGATGCCCTGGGTAAGAGAACCAAAGCAGTCTTTTCTCCTTTCATCGTTGACAGTCTAGTCTGTATAGTGGAATATGTACCCTCCCTTAGTTGTTTCAGTCTAATGGAATAAGAGATTTGCTAGACATCTGTACAGAGGACTGTGGGATCACAGAGAAGGTGCCTAGAAGGATTGGGGCAAATATCACTAAAGAGGTGATGTATGAGTGGGTTTAAAAATGAGCAAGAGTCCAAAAGGAGACAAATATTGTTGCAGGCCAAGAGACGTGTCTTAGCACATGACTCTCTTTTCCTTTTGCATGTGGCACAGTCCTGTGAAAAATGACTGAAGCTCTTTAACCCACTGCCTTGCACACAGTAGATAACAGTGATAAACAAACAGATGGAGTTTTCAGCCTTCCTTGATGTTTCTGCATTTTAGCCTTAAATGAACTGTGTATGTGGCAGTATGTATGTGGGTATGATTGTCCTTTCTTCTTCTCTTGGGTGTTGGTAGCAAGTCTGTGCCCATTTTAAAGTTCATTGATTATTAAAGGAATCTCATAAGTTACGAGGAGATTACTATGGTTCAAACTCACTGGGGCTAAAAAGGTAACTTCATATAGAAAATAATTATTTCATTTCTAACCCTATAACAATTCAAAGGTTGAATGGTTATTATTTTTGTTAAAAATACCTAGTACTATATTTGAACAATCATCTACTTATTTATTGTAATAAAAGATCCATCTACTGCTATCGAGTTGATTGCAACTCATAGTGACCTTATAGGACAGAGTAGAACTGCCCATAGGGTTTCCAAGGCTATAAATCTTTATGGAAGCAGACTGCCTCATCTATCTCCTGTGGAGCAGCTGGTGGGTTTAAACCGTTGGCCTTTTGGTTACCAGCCAAATGCTTTTTGCCCACTGCCCCACCAGAGCTCCTTGTAATAAAAAATAGCAGCACCTTAAGAAAGAAAGAAAAAAGGTACAGGCAATACATATTTCTATATTTTTACTGGAATTAAAAAGCATTGCTTAAAATTCATATGATCTTTATATCTATTTCAAGTAAAAAAAAACAATTCACATACTTTAAAGATAATTTAAAAATACAAGTAAAAAGAAAGAAAAAAAAAAGACGATATTTTCCTGGATACCAAAGCCACTATTGTTAATCTTTCTTTTCTACAAAATGTTCTACATGGTTGAGGTTAAGTTTGTGTTTTATAAAATTGCAAATATTTTACCATAATGTTAATACATAAGCATTGCCTATTGTTAGGAACTCTGTGTAAACTTATTGATTCCATAATACTCCTTATGGATAGACCATACCTTAGCTTACCCATAATTAAA